CCAAAAATAGCCAGCGCCAACCAGCTAGTCCTTTTGCGCCATGGAGATTTGTGAGACCGTACGCCAGTAGCCCGCCAAATGCACCGCTTAGTGCAGATGCAACAAAGAGATACGACACCCTCCGCGCTTGCTCCAGAGGCTTGTAGTACATACTCAGGTACAACGTCAAGCACGGAAACAGGCCGGATTCGAAGGCACCGAGGAGCAGGCGGGTAGCGATGAGAGAGGCGTAGTTCTCGATAAAGGCAGCTCCGATAATGACAGCGCTCCAGCCGATGATGAATATTGGAATTAGGCGGGATGGCCGCAGCTTTTTCAGCAATATAGAGGCTGGAACCTCGAAGGCGATATAGGTGACGTAAAAGAGCGTTACGGCAACGTTGAGACGGTTGCCGGTGAGTCCCAGATCCTCGTTCATGCCTGCGATGGCAGCATTTCCTGAGAGCTATCAGCAAATGACCTTGGAAATTATTGTTGCGAGATGTGTGTACCGATATTGGACCGGTCAAGGTAGGCCACCTGAAGCACCCTTGTTAGACTTGTTGTCGTGAATGAGAGTTTGTATGCATACCAGAAACACCAAGACCATCATCGGAGATAGTATGAGGTCCAGTTTGCGAATGAGCTGTTGATCTTAGTTAGCACGTGATACCCAGTTTTGCGTGCATTGCTTGTACCTTCTTCTCAGCGACTGGATCAATATGAATCTCTTCGCTAGCGCCACTTTGGGTATCCTTCTCGTGAACTGAACCATCAAAGGTCTTATCATCCGGGGTTGGATGCGACATGGTGTCGGTGGTGTCGTCTTCCGCGGCTAGACGAGACGGAAAGCTCATGATACAGGCTTGCGATCCAAACCAGACCCATCTGCCATGACATATACCTTATACCGTTCATCTTGACCTGGGACAACATTATTGCCGATCGGTGCCTAAGGAATTGTCCGACGCGGGAAGATAGCGAGCCCTGCTAAAGTGGGCATGATACGCATGGAGGATGCGCTAGGAACATTGGCAGGCAGGCGTCCGATAGAGATACTATCGGCTAAATCCCAGCGTTATCGGGAATCATCAACATGACGGAGACGCGATACGAGGGAGAGATGGACAGAGGTGACGAAGGTCCGTCAGCGAAGAAGAGGAAGAGAGGTCGACAAGCGAAGAGCTGTGTCGCGTGCCATCGGCGGAAGCAAAAGGTGCGTATGACGTAAGCAGTCGCTCCGAGCTTCGCGGCGCGACAACGCGTTGTGATGACGACCCTCCAACCCAGCCATCTTCGCAGTGCTTCCGTTATGAACGATTGCAATCACTCCACGAGCAATGCTCAATACATCGGATAGATAGCTGATGGCCTACGCAGTGCGACGGAGAGCTGCCATGCTTCAACTGCAGCAGACGCGACGTTGCCTCAAGCTGCACGTACAGCGACGAGGCTGAAGCCCGTCGTCGGCAAACTTCACGTGTCGCCGCTATCCCTCTGAATGATGATATATCGTCAGAGAATCCCACAGGTACGTTTCTATCGGCGCTGGCCTTCACGCAGCAGAATGCGAGAGCCTTGTCGACACGCTCGTTGCAAAGATTGGTGCTAATGTTACCGCGAAGACACACGGACCACTTCCACGCGTGCCAGAAACTCGCCCGAACCCAGAGACGCACAAGTCGGTAATCTCTTCCGCAGTCGAGACGCCCCATCCTTTTTCGGATCATCCTATTTCGGACCTCAAGCTGCAGCAAAAATAATCGAAGAGCCCGCACCAGATCTTTCCTCCGGTATACGGCATGCTGCGGCCTCGGCGCAATCTTTCCGCGATGTTGGAGGCCCTTTTTCGCAGATCTGGGATCTCCTAGGCTTGCTGCCGCGCAACAAGGCCAGCGTCGATCGCCTCGTACATGTCTTCCTCGACGAGCTGAATTGGACCATAGACGCCATCCATCCACAGTCTTTCAAATTGAAGTATGACGAGTTCTGGGAGCGTAAATTCGGCTTCGATGATTATGCATCTATCGATCTGAGGTGGCTGGCATTGTTATTTATTGTCCTTGCGTACGGTGTTTTCCTCGACTGCCCCTATCCAAAGAATGGCGAAGTGCAACGTGAGCTTCAAGAGACATCACTACGCTTCTACTGGGCAGCAAGGCGCGCTATAGTCATTGCACCAACATTCTACGGAGAGTCGACAGATCTTGTTCGTGCCGGTCTTCTGGTCACACGTTATCTGATCCATTTGCGAAGAGTACCGGAGGCTTGGCTTACGACCAGTTTTGCCATGCGTATGGCCCAAGCACAAGGCATGCATATCGATGGCGAACGTTGGCGTCTCTCGCGTAAAGAGACCGAAACCCGAAGGCGTTTGTGGAGCCATCTCTATACCTTGGATAAGACTATCGCGCTTGCCATCGGTCGTCCCTTCGCTATAGTTGACCAGCAGTGTCTCGTCAAAAGAGCCACCAACGTCTGGTTGGACGACCAACCAGACGAGGATACGTCCGCCATCCCAGAGCTACCCATGTCCGAGCCTACCCTGAGCGTTTACAACTTCCTTGCACACGATCTGGCAAAGATCATCGGCAGCATTCAAGAGCGTTGCTTTGGTCTCTTCACCGTTTCTTACGACACCGTAATTTCGCTAGATCATGATATTATCGACTGGGAGGCAAGGTTACCAGACTACTATCACCTGAAAACCCCAGACACATCTATGGATGGCACGCTCCCCTTCCTTTACTGGAATCGCTTGCATCTCCACTCCATGTACCACTTCGCCCGCGTCACGCTTCATCGACCGTATTTGCTGCGCCAAAGTATTACGAACCGCTTCAGACACAGTCACGATGCGTGCATATCGTCGGCATGCGCTGACCTTGCCATGCGCATCGATTATTTCCAACAGCCATTGAATGACCGTCTGAAGTGGACTTTGGGTCCACACCACCTCTTCAACAGCGCTTTAGTCCTCGGAATAATCGCTGTCAAAGATCCACACTCGCCTAAATGTCGCGCGATACTAGAGGACCTCTCCGCATATTGCGAGATGCAAAGAGCTGATATCTGGCTCAATGAGTTCGCGCTAGCTGAGGTCAAAATCATTGAACTCTGCATCAAGAAAGCGAATCAGTTTCGTGCTAGTCGTACTGAAACACGTCCCAACACAGCAGAAAATGCGCCACCTGCCGTGCATGGTGCCAATACCATCGACCTGACATCACCGTATACGGAAGATAGCTCGGTAACGGTGCCAGATCTGCCGGCGATAGGTGCAGGTGGGCCCTTCCAATGGCATGCGCCCCCATGGGGTGACCCATCTTTCACCACTTTGTTTGAGCCAACCGATCTGCAGCACTGGGAGAATGTACTGGATAACATCACACAAGAGCAGATGCTGTTCGGCTTCCAATAGCGCATCACGCTCTGTAGATACTGCCGACCCCGCCAATTGTGCAACCATTTTTTTTTTGGCATATCTCGTTGCTCTCTAAGAAGATGGCACTACTGTTCCACTTGTATGTCATGTAGCCTCGCTGTCGGTATATACTCTAAGCTTCCTCATAAGCTACGGGTGTAACCAGACTTCCCATACCATGACTCATTACAATCCTCAGATCATCTCCCGGTTTGAGCCATACCTTGGGCACCTTGCTCACACCAATTCCATGCGGCGTACCCGTCATGATTACAGTACCTGGCTCCAACGTCGTTCCTTGGCTCAGATATGCCACTATTTCTGGTATGCTGAAGATCGTATCGTTCGCCAGTGAATATTGCATAGTCTCGCCGTTGAGTACCGTCTTCAGCTCAATGTCGCCTGGGTTTGGTATCGAAGACGCGGATACCAAGCATGGCCCTATTGGCGCGAAGCCATCAAAGCCCTTGCCGAACCCCCATTGCGCGCCGTTGAACTGGTGGACTCGCGCGGTTACGTCATTCGAACATGTGTAGCCCAGCACGTAATCCATCGCATCTTCTTTACTCACGTTCTTGGCTAGCTTCCCGATGACAACCGCAAGCTCGGCTTCGTAATCGGCCTGGCCATCTGTCGCCTGATGTGGAATGACCAAAGGTGCGTTTGGCGAACCGAGGCATGTTGAAGGCTTGAAGAAGAGAGTTGGGTGGTCGGGAAGGTCCAAGTTCATCTCTTTGGCATGTTTCCGATAATTCAGGCCTATACAGCGGATCGTTCCAACTTCGGCTTTTGAAAGCGGTGGCAATAGTCTTGATATCGTGTAGGTCACTAGTGTTGGCTGGGTGTCCACGGAGAGTACGGTCGACCCGGTGAACACGCGGACTTTTACTTCTGATCCTGAAGTAAGGGCTGCGCCGACTGCAACGTATTAGCAACAACGGGCAATAAAGACAAAAGATCGACATACCATCCAATTCGGCATCAATGGGCTCGCCGATGTGCTCAGCACCGTCCTCGCTCGCGACAAACCGCACTAAACGACTCCAACTCTATGCAGCGTCAGCAGAGCTCTTTGACTATTTCCATTGATTGCCTACCGTCCTAATACCACTTGCGATATCTATAGACCCCATGCTTTCAAATTTTGAGAAAACGATCGATGGGACTTTGGGAAATCGTTCAACGAGGTATTTCGTGCCTGGCTCTTGGATACTTATCCCCTTTTAGTTCGCAGTGCAACAGTTGGTCTCCTTACGACGGCATGCATCTCCGCTGCTTATCGATCGGGAATTGATGGAGAGGCCGACACCCCTGCTCGAGCGGGCCATTACCCCACCACTCATACGCGCGATGTCGGGTAACGTTATCGGAGGCGTTCTTTCCCGGTTGACAAGCAAACCAAACGAATAGCCGTTGAGCTGCAAGCCTATTGGAGCCGTACCACGACGAAATGACGATGCGACAACAGCACTGCAAACCTTTCCGAGACGAAAAACGATATACAATTATTTGCGATACTTGCTACAACGATGCTGAAATAGTCAGACGGGGACTCTTCCTCTACTCCAGGCTTCACTTCTCTGTGCCTTCTCAACCTTCAACACTGCTTCCGTAAAGCCTTTTGGGTGTCCTTCTCCTTTTTCCTTGCCCTGGCATCCGAATTAAGCCTTTCCTGCTGCACGTGCGGTGGACGGGCATAGGTCTGCTCGTACTGTCCACGTAGTGGCTCCATTATCGCAGCATTGCCTACTTGGCCCATCATACCCAGATCCATCATCGATCGTGAGTTGAACTCGTCGATGCGACGTTCACCAGGAGGCACGTTCGCCAAGCTCGTGTCGATTGGCCCAAATTGACTGCGGCGGTTCAAATCGACGTTGATCCGCCGAGGTGTTGGGGGTGTCACCGTCATGGAATCCGGTGAGCCCATCGTTGGTTCCTGGGTCAGATTCATGCCAGGAAAATGCACTGGTTGCTGCACCCACCCAGACCCCTCTTCTTGCTCGCCAAGCATACGCCTCGTCATCGGATTCCGGCTGCGAGGAGGCGGTGGTGGTCGCGATGGTGTTACACCTGCAGAAGGACTGGCCAGCTCCAAAGGCTTTGGTAGAACAGGAGGAGGCTGCTTGCGAATGTCCAGCGGCTGAGGGCGCAATTCGGAAGCGCACCGGAAACTATCCATCGAGCTTCTCACTCTCGATTGACAGACACTAGGCGGAGTTACTGCATTGCCGTTCACGTCCGAAATCTGGGAAACGATCGATCGATCCAGCGATATTGGCCTCGACGGTATCGTCGCTGTCAGCGGAGGTGACGTTACCGACCGCTGCAATGTAGATGGTCGAGGAGTGTCGACCTCTTCACTCTGCTGTCCGGACATTTCTGATTGCAGCGGCCTTGTGGTTTCAGGTGTGCTCAAACCCGAGCGCGTTGGATCTGCGTTCACGACGTGCAGACACTGTCTCGCAGGCCAGGGACTGGCGATAGTACCCACGTCGTCATGAGCCGGAGAACCAGGAAAACGATCAATGTCTCTCGCTTCGTTGATCACAGCATTTCCGGCTGATTTGGAAGACCTGGCAGGAAATATCTTTCTCTTATTCTTCCAAAGGTTGCTTGTCGCTTCAGCTACACCCTTGACGTAGAACTCTGCCCCTTTCTGCTCGACAGCTTTCACGCCCTTGTTAGTCTGCCTGCTCTTATTGAAGACTTGCTTCAACAGATTCTGGGAGGACTTGGGCGCTTCGGGAAAGTTGTTGATGGTCACACTGACCGGACCGTTGAATACGTTTGTCACCGGGTCCTGCCGCAAGCCAGACGAGATCACGTCCGACGAACTGACTGCATCGGCAGCAGTGGCTGGCGGTGGGTGCTCAGCAGCAACGGAAGTAGTGTGCTGAGATCTTGCAACAGGCTTACGCGCAACACTTCCCTGAGACGTGCGAGACGACGGTGGTCGAATAGCAGACGAGGCTTCGCTTGACTGTGCAGATGACGAAACGGGTGTGAAGGGACGAGGTTCTAGTCCTTCCCGCTGATAACTATCGCGATCCCGGTGATTCCAGAGATCGGAGAGAGTGACCTGTGGTCTTGCTTGGCGCGGAGGTGGCTGCGTTTCCTGGGCTGTGAAGAATGTCCCTCCAGACGATATCGTATTCAGCCGACTCGGTACACCACTTGCTTGCAGCGATGGCGGATATGCGCCAGGGAACGATTCGCTTCGCGTAGACACATTGGTTCCCTGTAGATGACTGTTACCCGCATTATGGCCCTGAAATGAGGGCACTGAAGACACATTGCTGGATCCCCTGTTGCCCAACGGGCGTCGAGACACGACACTTTCTTGCACAGGCGTCTCAGAAAATGCTCTCGCCACGCTGCGAGGTGCTCTACTGCTCGCATACGAAGGAGGGTATGCTCCTGGAAGTAAGGGCGTCCCAGCGATCGGCCTTGAATCGAGCACCGTACTAGCAGCCGCCGAACCGGCCTGGGAAGGAGACGGAGGATAAGCGCCGGGATATCGGGGAGGCGCTTCGCTAGTCTGCGACTCGCTCGGGATATCATGGGGTACCTCAAACGACTCCACTCTCCGCGCAGGGTTCTCTTCTATCGTCTGATAAGACGGTGGGCGGCCTGATGAAATTGATCGAATAGACGATCTGCTTCTATCAGAGGCTGGTGGTGTAGGAAGTGCGCCAGGTGGGTATGGAAGCCTGACATCCAGCCTGCTGTGATCCGTCGTGACGATGTTGAAACGTTGGGCTTGGGCTTCTGCCACTGATCGAAGACTTGCTGGCCGCGATGCAGATGCCTCTGAGATCGGCGTTAAAGGCCGATAGAGTACGTTCGGATTGTCAATGACCTCCCGAGCATCGGCCACACTCCTTTGTTCCTGCTCAGTCACCGGACCCGGGGGATAGGACGCCATGGCTCCCAACACTGGGCGGTCTTCTGGAGACTGGGTAGCCGATGGCTCATTCGATGGTGCAGAGGTCCGTCCGTGCTCGTTCACACAGCGCAGCATATCCTCCCGAAGTTGCCCGACGTGTGCAACTTCACGAGAATGCTCTTCATTCTTGCTTTGGCTGATCGCTATCAGCAACTGCTCGTCTTCGCTCAGGCCGTGTACAGCGTATGCTTCCTGAAGGCGTGCAGACTCTTGTTCATGTTGCCGCTGCTCAGTCTCGGCTGCCACCTTGCTCTCGACGATGGCCTGATCCAAGGTCTCTTGGTGTAATCGCGCAGTTTGAGCCCGAGCTCGCTCATCCTTCAGAGACTGTAGCTCAGCTTTCCGGGTAGCCTCACGCTCTTGATCGGCAGCTAGTGCTTCACGCCCCGACTGCCTTTGAGCTTCGAGAAGGCGTTGTTGGTCCGCCTCTGTGTCTGCATTGCGTCTCCGATCCGCCTCTTCTGCCTCTACCTGGCTGATGGACAGCGCAACAAAAGTGTGCTCGCGTTCTTGATCGGCAGCTCGTGCTTCGAGCTCCGACTGTCTTAGAGCCTCGAGAAGGCGTTGTTGATGCGCCTCCGCGTCTGCATTGCTTCTCTGGGCCGCCTCTTCTGTTTCTATCCGGCTAACGTCAAGCGCAACAAGAATCTCCTCGTCCTCCGCCTCGGATTGTCTTGTGACCCTAGCGTTCGTTGAACGCGGTGCTACCCCGATTCCCGCGGAAGCTCGACTTGCTTCAAGGGCACGATTCAGATCTTGTTCTTCCCTCATCTGAAGATCGGCCGCGACCCAGGCCATGTCTTCCGGACCGTATTCTTCGTTCAAGTTGGACATTGCGACAGTCGGAGTTCGGCCTTGTGGTCGCGCGATGCGGGCAGAGTCCGTCGGGTCGGCGCAGTCTCTTACGCGCTCGTCGGAAGATGTGAGGGCGGGGCGGTTAGCGAGGAGAGCGGTAGTCGCGGTACAGCCGGTGAAACCAAGACTTTGAGAGCGCTGGTGGGTGTAAGGGTGGAGGGGAACCAAGGTGCTTGAGTGTAAGAGACGGGCTATTTATCAGTAGACGAAGCACCCTCTGAGTACCCGTGCTCACTTGCATCTACAGAACGGGCCCATGGCGAAGTGATATAATTTTCGCAACGTCATAGCACCTCTGGAAAGCCTGCAATGACAGACGCTGGCCATGTGTGGTCATAGCATTTTCCGGGCAGTGAGGCAGGGAGCTCACTTGGCGTGAAGACCACTGGAAGAACCCCGAACATCGTAACCGATAAGTGATTTGAAAGCTTGGACTACCATATACTGTTGTATTGTATATACTGAGGAAGAGGGTGGACCGACTCAACCGTTGATGCGAGGTCGTAGCGCCAACATATAGCATACGAAACATCACTTTCCCCGCCCAAGAGGTTTGTGTGTCGACACATTCGTTGCTGTTTGCATGCGCGCTTGTATTTGGTGTTTGGCGTAGGACTCTGTCCGCTGACGCCGTTGCTGTGTTTGCGCGACCACTCCTTGTCCTCAGTCGGTAGTATTTAATCGCTCTCAAATTTGGTATTTGTCGCAATTCGACTGGGTTTAATGTCCAGAGGCAGCCCACCGGCTATAATCCACATCCTGTAGTCAACACGTCCACGACTTGCTTTCGGAACTCAATCATGCCTTCGACTGGATCTTCATAGTGCCAAGTAAGACACTTTGACACGACTTGCGCGTAAGCCTTTCCCATCTCTCTCTCGATTTCGGTACTGTTGGCCCAATCTAGTATCGCGTTGTGTATACGATTGAAGAGATCCTGCTGCTGTACTATGCCGAAGATCGGGAACTTCTCTATGCGGCGGGCGAAGACTTTCGCCATTGTCCGCCATAGTCCAAGTTCTAGAAGAACCACGCCCAGTGAGTAGATCTCGTGCTCGTTGGAATATTCTGAAGATGGTCGGCCAAAACGGTCATGGTGGCGGTACAGGTTCGGCTCCAACGGGAAGTGCGTAGCCTCGAGGGGTTGGAGGACACCCCAGCCAACAAAGAAGGGAGACAACTCGAGATCATTAAACGATCTTGGCAGCATTACGATACTGCGCGACTGTACGTTCCCGTGAACCCAGCCGGAGGCATGCGACTCGAGTAGTGTGCTTGTCAGCGCTCTTGCGATGAGAAAGCGACTTCCTATTGAGGGTCTCGCGGTCGGACCCTTCGAGATCATGTCATACAAAGACGATGGGTTTGATGCCCAAGGATGGCTTTGCGGAGCGCGGTAGACGATCAGACTCCTTCTGTTGAGTGGATCATCGATGAAACCCATACAGCTTAATGTATGCAGCTGGTAGCCGTTCTGGGCGTCGCTCTTGACGGATACGTCAGTCTGATGAGGAGCCTGTAGCAACCACGTCAAATGACACATGTACTCAGCAGGCGTCTCGTCGTCCGATCGCGTTTCAACAAGAACGTCGACTTCATCTCCACCGTCATCGTATATCGTCTTGATAAGGCCGTGCGATGGCTGCCCAGTGCTGATCGTTTCTCTGAGCGCGCCAACGAGCGCAGTATAGTCGCCCGAAGGTTCTGCACCTGCTCGATGCTGGCGTTCGAGTTGTTCTGCCACGCCAAGGATAGCAGCCTGCCTGGAATTACCGAATCCTGGATCCGGAGGTCCGATGCCAAGGAAGACAATTTCCAGAGTTTGACGAAGCCGATGTGTCCATTGCAAGCAATTCAAGGTGAGTGTGGCCATCTCCTCTTCTCCGAACAATGCTTTGTATAGCCCTGGCCGCGCCTTTTCTCGCCAGAGTTGCGAGCGTTCTTTCATTTCGTCTCTCCAGCTCTTCTTTTCATGCTGAACATCTAGTGACGCGGCGCGACCGCGCTTCAGATCCTCAATGCTTCTTTGCCCCGCACCAGGGGTGGGACTCTTGCCGATGTACCTCCACGCCTCCCGGTGCGCGGCTAGAGACTTGTTGAGCGAGTAAAGAGAGTGCTCTACATCACTTGGTAAGATACGATGTAAACGACTGTCGCGTAGAACTCCGGTTAAGTCGCTGAAGCAGATATTCGAAAACACATCCAGAAACACAAGCGTCTCGTTCAAAAAGTTCGTTGTATTAGTTACGCCGCTTGTGTCTTTCGTGACGTCGCGGACAAAGATCAAAGTTGCGCAAATGACTACAGCGACGTTAGCATCGTGAATCTAACCCCATTGTCTCCTGTTCCGTGTTTGAGAGCAGACAAACGATTAGTCAAGACCTTTTTAGTTCAGCCATCTCTTGCACAATGTCGTGAAATACACGAAGCTTAGAACGTGGTAGGTCGTCGATCGAGGAGTTCAAGCGATTATTGACGGTGACACGTACGATGAAGGAGTTCGAGAGATGCGCTGACATGGTCCATAGCGTCCTATCGTATTTGGATGGCGTCGCGAAATGCCCAACAAAGTTTGACCTAAATAGCTGTCGATCGACTGCAATGAAGTCGCAGGAAGTGAGAGGTGCATTAGCGGCGCAAGCTGTCACGAGGGTGAGCGAACGGCAGTGCGGCGTCCCATCGTCGCGCTAAGCCACCACGCGGGCGCGTTGCACCCAGCTAAAATCAAGTTACCCCGCCGCCGGATGGCTGTTACGGACGACTACGAAACGTGATGGGCAGAATCCTGACGTGATTTGACGAAAACAAGTAGAAGGAGATGAGGAGCTGGAAGGGAAGTGGGAAGATTGGCAGCTATCCAAGGTCGGGCGCGCGTTCGCGATGGGGACGTCATTGCCCGTGCACAGTTTCGAAGACACTAAACTCACCTGGGCAGTATGTGCGGATCTGACAAGATATTCGAATATGCGTCGCTTCATCTCTTCTCATGATTATAGATTTGTAAAATGCGAGACAGTCCAGTTACAACGTTTGGGTAATATTCATATGTAGTCTGCACTACCTTCCAAGGTTGGTACCCGCGAAATGCACATCACGTGGCTGACGTCATGACGCGCGCCTTACTTCTCGACGCTACCTAGGTATCTCCTCATGAAGCAGACTTACCACCTCTCAACACGTTCTTAGGACGCTCAAAATCGAGTCCGCTTCTATCCTCCAACACGATGGCTTTACATCGTCTGGTCGTATGCCCCATGATGTCACGTGGCATATTCCTGAGCCCCCGGGGCCCATTTCAATTAGAACCCGAAATTGGTACTCCTTCGTTTGCCACGTCTCACGCCGTATACATCTCCAGTGCTCGGTATGCTCGGATCGTCTCTATGCGCATCTACATCAGAGCTTGTGAAGCGTCGAAAGAGTCTCCGTGCAAGACCAGGCCGCTTCTCTCTTTCCCGTTCCTGTTCCCTACTCCGCCCTCTTTGTTCGTGATGGATCACTTCGGGGACGCCCCCACCTCTATCTGCATATGATTCTGTCATATCCGGTCCTTGTGGTTTATCACGAAGTCGACCGTGCACGCCTGCTCTACCAGAGCGCCAGGAATAGCTAGAGCCGATCGACTCGGTTGGAGAAGTTGAGCGTTTACCTGGTGACGCGAACATCCGCGTGGGAGCGGACCGGAAGAGCTTCGCCGGACGAACATGTATCGTTGAGTGTCCTTGCGATGACGAGCCGGTCAAGCCAGTTGGAGGCAATGCTGTAGCCAAGTTGCTCAGATCGAGCGAGTGCAGACTCGAAGAGGTCGAACTGCGGATGAGGCCGTTTGTTGTCATGCTGTTGTCTACAGTACCTGCGGATGGTATTGTGTGAGGTCGATTTAAGCCAACTCTCTGGTTGCGGTCATCGCGATGGCTCTCCTCCGCACTCTCCTCGCCAGTGAAACTAGACATGATCGTGTGGAATCCTATTTCTAGTTCGGGTACGGAGCTTTGCTGCCTACAGTCTGTCGAATTTGTTTCGGTCTGCGGGCGCGTTTGCCATTCTTGCGAAGACTGCCGCGACATCTGCGCTGCCAAGGAAGGTGTACCAATGACTTGGATTGTAGAAAAGAACACTGGGTATTATTGCTAGCGCACACTACTGTTGTCGAGTAGAGTGATGTGATCGACACACTGTATGGGCAGTGTGAATGAATAGTACGGTCCATAGTACCGTTGCCGGAGCGATTACCCACATAGGCGATCACCGGAAGACAATGAAACAGACCTATCAGTGCTGCACTCGCAACGTGAGTAGAACAGTCTGGTCGAGTGTGTCAAGTGAAAGAAAATACAGATCTGGTCATCCAATGGTTTTGCCGTTTCTCACTGTCGTGCAAGTATGACACCAAACTAATATCTTCATATTCCTTCCCTAAATGTACACCAGGTTTCGATACACTGGATTTCACTCATCGAGGCGCCTCAGCTTTCCGACCTACTACTGCAAAAGTCCAATATGACAGAGCTCTTGATCGGGATGGGGAAACGTTCTCCCAAGATGTCGTAACCGGCGTTATCAGGAGGGCTCTCATATTAATCTGCCTCCTCCAGCAACTTCCTCGACAAAAGCCGGTACAGCCTAAATAAGTCTCTTCATAATACAATGATGCGCTGGCGCGACATACATTTGGGTGTGTGAATCTTAGAGTCTCTCGACGCGGGAGTCGATTCGAGAGATGCGAATATCAAATTCGACCAGAATAATCGAGTTAGCATAGTCTAGATAGTAGTACGCATTATCCTGGGACCCAAATCGAGACCCACATCCTAGCATCAAGGCCGCGAACGTTGAGATTAGGCCACTTGCTGGTAACACTAGTGGAAGGGCATACCCGTGCGCTGTTGAGATCGTAGCCTCTACGTCGAGTGTCGAGCAGACGATTTAGTTGTTTGCTTCAAGGTCGAAGCTCAAATGCGTCCTTGACTGTACTTACTGTTAATGTATCGGAGACCACACCTAGGTACCTAGGTATGATGATTTTGGTAGGAGATCTTATGTGTAGGGATGAAACTTCGAAGACATACCGTGAGCGATTGGAAAGAGGCATATCTCACGCGACTGTTCGAGCGACGCGAAGGTTTGCCTTCTCAACAGTGGCCTGAGTAACGACCAGCTCTCACCCCAATTCCCACAGGACGTATATTCAGAGACGAGATCATGGGCGAGAAAGACGTGCGGTGAATCAAGGCGGAGCGAAGAGCGATTGCTTGTTGTGCTGTGTTCATATGACATTACATTATTCGTGTGGTAGGCCGACGCGTCGATGACGTCACGCCCCAAAA